GCTGGATTTATGCATAGTAGCGTAATCAATCATCATTCTATTTTGCTTAATAAAACCATCTGTTTTTAAAACTGGAGGTCTCGAAAGCGAAGCCTGGTACTCTTCAAAGTCTCAACCCGAACAGCTAGCAGGCCGGTACCAAACAAAAGTCTCCTATGTAAGGAGGCGTCACCCCTGGGCAAATCAAATCGCAGACCCACGTTCTCCCGGATAGACGTCTTTCCCGACCAATGATTTCCTACGTTGGAGGCGGGTTTCACATAGCTGGCCTATGGAAGCGTACGTTGGCTCAGCCAATAGAGTCAGGGCAGGGGGCGTGGCGGGAAGTTTGAAACTTGCAGCTTCGGGAGTTGAGCCTCGCTGTGCTGTGTACCCAAAGGTGGAATTGGGGCCCGGTAAGTGATTTGAATAAATTCATAAATAAGTTTAGAGGGCCCAGCAGGCCCAGAATGAGCCGCTTTGTTAGCCGTATCAATTGTTAGCTCCGCAGATGTCTCTGGCCCCTCAGCCAGGAAGTTCCTCACTTGGAAACTGGGAAGATCAGGTGCTCTGTGAGTCGAAGGTCTGACACAGTCGCGGTAGGAGCTGAGACCTGAGTCATTTTTCACAGGCATCCCCTCCTCGTCCCAGGCCGGGCCCTGCCCTCACCCTACAAGTCTTGGTTAAGATGGGCTCAGCCAAGAGCGTCCCAGTTACTCCAGCGGGGCCTCCGCCGCACAACAAGCATCTAGCGCGAGTGGCAGACCCCCGTTCGCCTAGTGCTGGTATCCTGCGTACTCCCATCCAGGTACTCTGGGCCAGGGTGGGGAAGGCAGAGAAGCTGTCTGAATTTTTGGGCTTCTGCCTAGTCGGATTCCGACAAAGCTCTCACACCTACATGCCTACCCCTCCCTTATTTTCTGCGTTCTCAATTTGCGTGGGGTGGGCTGAATCTCGAGGGTCTTGCCAATTCCTGCTTAGAATATGGCGAGAAGAGAAGGATCAGGGCCCAGACTTGTTCTAGCCTATGGTCCTTATAGGTGGAGAGCTCTCCACAGCCAAGTGTACCAGTAGGGGAACAGCTGGAGGCTCCCAAACATGCCCAGGACTCAGATCCCCGCTCTCCTACCCTTGGCATTGCACGGACACCTATGAAGACCAGCAATGGAGGTAAGTGTTGGATCCAAGGAAGGTTGATAAGGCTGTCATCTCTTATGAGAGGGTGGGGATGATGGTCAGTGAAGCTGTTCTCTCAGGGCTCCTTCTTAAAAGGGCCTGCATCCGCCTGCTTTTGGCTCATCTCATTCTTTTCTCAATATTTTGCTTCTCCACTTTGATTTCTCTCTTGTTCATTCACCTGGGCATAAATCCTTTGGCTCCTGTGCCTTTTCTTCCTTGTTGAAAGATACATATCTGAAGGTCACTCTGTTCACTTCTTTCCTCTAGACCCTACAAGCCCATTGGTGAAACAACTGAGTGAAGTATTTGAGATTGAAGCCTCCAAATCAAATCTTCCCCCAGAGCCTATTCTGCCCTTGGAGGCATCTTCATCTTCTGAATTGGACTTGCCTCTGGATACTCAGTTATCCCTTGAGGATCAGAGGCCATCTTGGAACCAGGCTGAGCTCCCCTCTAAACAGGTGTTTTCTAAGGAGGAAGCAAGACAGCTCACAGAAACCCCTGTCAACAGCCATAGCTCAGACAAGCCTTTAAGAGATCCTGAAACTCCCCGCTCTTCAGGTACAGAATCTAAGGGAAAGGTGTAGGAAGGAGAAACTAGGGTAATGTTTATGGGTGAGTGTGGGAGGAATAAACTGTAAGCCCCTAGTTTTGGATGCTTGCTTAAACTCCTTACCCATCCTAGGTTCTAAGCGAAATAGACGGAAACCAAAAGGCAAGGTAATAGGGAGGTCGCCCCTCACCATTCTGCAAGATGACAACTCCCCTGGGACTCTGACACCACGACAGGTAAAGAGGGAAAGAGAGTGAAAGCAGCTATTACTAGTCAATGTAGATGGTGGGAGATCCGTTTACCCAGCTCTTCCCTCACCTGAACAACAACCCCCAACTCCTACACTGACTTTTGCAGGGTAAGCGGACTTCCTCCCTAAGTGAAAATGTTAGGGAACTAAAGGAAGGAGCCATCCTTGGAACTGGACGACTCCTGAAAACTGGAGGACGAGCATGGGAGCAAGGCCAGGACCATGACAAGGAAAATCAGCACTTCCCCTTGGTAGAGAGCTAGGTCCTATGTGGCCCCAGCACTGGATTCACCCAGCGCCTGGTACCCCCTTATTTCCCAGGGAGACTGAGGAAAGGCTTGTTTTCTTTGACTCCTCCTAATTTACCAATCTGGGACTGAGAGCTTTATTGGGATATCTTTATGTCTTATATGTTTCTTGTATATTAAAGGAAATGGTTTTAAATGATGCTTTTAAAAGGTATACGTAAACTTTGCACTTGGTCTTCTGTCTGTAGAATGGCAGCCTGGAAAGCTTGTGTTCCCTGGTCTGAGTGTCCCCTCACTGATACTCTGAGCCAGTCTCTTTTGTGTACCTCTCTTAAATCAGGGCTCTGTCCTTGGCCCTTTCCTCCTGTTCTCCCTAGGTCTTTATTTCTAGGGCTTGATTTAGCATTTCCCTATATTCTCGTAACTTTCAGGTCTCTCTCTCTAATCCTGACCTTCACCTAGCTGCCCCATAAACAGTTCGACATAAGTTTGTCTAAAATGAATTTATGGGGCTGGCTGCTGTGGCACATGCCTGTAACCTAGCACTCTAGGAGGTGGAGGAGGGAGGATTGCTTGAGTTCAGGAGTGCGAGACCAAGTAGCCACAAGAGCAAGACCCCATCACTACTAGAAATAGAAAAATATTAGTTGGATGTCATGGCACATGCCTGTAGTCCCAGCTACTCAGGAGGCTGAGGTAGGAAGATGGCTTGAGCTTAGGAATTTGAGGTTGCTGGGAGCTATAATGATATCACTGCACTCTAGCCAGGGCAACAGAAAAAAAAA